CGCTGATCAAATACTCGCAAATGAGCCCGATAAACTGGCTGCCCTCGACGATGATTCACTCGTTGCTGATTTGTTTGAATATTACCAAATGCAACATCACCCACATAGACACATGTCCAGATCGGATTCGGAAAAATACGTGCGTATGAATAATTTCAAGAAGACTTTAAAGTTTATCACTGAAACAAACTCGGCTGAGGAAAGTACATTCAAATTGGGTTTGAACAAATTCAGTGACTGGACACGTGATGAACTCGAGCGTCATACTGGTCTCATTCCAGACAATAATGAGAACATATCTCCACGTTTTGGTGTCGACCCGATATCGGACGCTGAGACGCTTTTTCCATTGAATAACCAGAGTCATGATTCGTGGGATTGGACAGAACATCAAGTCGTCACTCCGGCAAAAAATCAAGGTCAGTGTGGCAGTTGCTTTGCATTCGCATTTGTCGGTGTGCTCGAATCGAATTATGCCATTCGACATGGTACATCACGGGAGATGAGCGAACAACAATTCGTCGACTGCGCAGCGTTGTCTGGCTGTAAAGGCAGCAATTTTGTACCATGCTACAACTATATGAAATCCAAGCATTGGTATGTTCAATCAGCAAGCAATTATCCGTACATAGCCATCGCTCAATCCTGTCAGGTACACCATCCCAGCGAAATTCATGTTGGTGAAAAGCTGTACAAGCGTGTACCGACCAATGATGAGGTAGCGCTCAAGACGCTTTTACGCAAATACGGACCCGTCTATATTTCCTTCAATGTAGGCAATCGAGCAAATGAGTCACCACTTCTTACAGATATATCGAAAAAGTTCAGTGCATACTCATCTGGCATTTTCGACGTGCCTGGCTGCAATGAGAAACCGCGCCAAAATCATGCCATGCTCTTGGTTGGCTACGGTCAAGATCGATCAACAGGTTTGGACTATTGGAAAGTGAAAAACTCATGGGGCAGTACGTGGGGAGAGAAGGGATTCATCCGCGTGAGACGAGGCGTCAACATGGGTGGAATTGCCGCCAATGCTTATTACATCGGATCGCTTTCATCTTTCTAAGCTTTAGGCCATGTTTTGATGAAAATTACTTTATATAAATACGTCTGCTATGACGCTCAGTCTTGCTTCCGGTAAGATGTGATATTTTCTGAAAAGGCGGAAAGGCGGTATATCTTTTTGTCTTGAATCAATTGTAAAACGTTTAGCAGACGTACGCACTGTTTCCAGATACCTCTATTGTTTTCAAAAAATATCCTTCGTTCGAGAATTATAGTAAAGATGCTAAGAAATCGCTAGACAATGTTTTAGAGGAACAGTATTATTCGAAAGGCAAAACAAGAGCAAGCTGAAAATAGATACTAAATCATGGTTTTGTGGGATGAACCTTAAGAACTCCGTAGCTTTTTTATGAACTAGGCATGGAAATAGTCTCATTCTGAAGGAAACACGTGCTCTGCAAGGCACTCTGTTTAGCTGTGAAGTGCAAATATGGTGAAGGGCGCGAAGGATATTCTCTATGCAGCAACTCGTTTCAATTGGTATTGAACACACTATCGATATATGATAAGAGGAAACCTAGATCTTTGCCGTCTGTTTGGGGCAAATTTTTTTCACAAAAACGGTACTATTCTTATCAGAATCACTCATATAATCTGCATTGTAGAAACGCTGAGAAAAACTTCAAGTTCGTTATGGACGTAACGTTCGACTGAACAGCTTCGGTATTGTCTGAACGGTACCGTAAGAACTGTGAATTTTGGCGTACTGTTGGTATAGTACAGTACTACAGCGTATCATATAGAACACAGTAGATAAAAATAAAAATAAATGAAAATAATACCTAACCAATCAAAAAAACTGTTCAAGATTTATACAGATATCGAAAATTTGGCAAGATTCTGCTAATTAATTAATAACAAATTAATTGCTTCGTTAGAATCAGTTACATATCTTGATCAAGTTTTTTCAAGACAGATTCTGTAACAAAACTTGTCTACAATCTGAACTGTAAGATGATCTCAGAATCTCGTCAGATATCGATAAAAATCTGCATAAGATCTTGAAGAAACTATACAGAAACTTAAGAAATCTATTAACTTTTTATCGAGATCTGCCATACTTTAGCAGGAGATTAAAAGGTAAGGCGTATACATCGTCTTTGCTTTCGATCATGGTGCTGGTAGAGCTTCGACAAAATGAAAACCAACACAAGATCCATTAGAACATCGAAAATAGATGTCACTAAAACGGTAGAAAGTACAACAGCTGGTGGCACGGCAGGCGGAAACGATGCTAAATCAACCTCATCAGCGGACGATGGAAAACAATCTATCTCGTCCAAAGATAAAGCTGACGAAGAGAAGTGATTATAATGTCGAGTATGAAATAGACTAATTCTTTTAATTCTGTAGATTCTGAAGTTTCTTCTCCTATTTTCTCCCTTTTTCTAAATCGCAATATTAGCACACAGAGTACAAGTTCCTTTGTTTTGTAAACAATTCTATTCTTCTACAGCATGAAGTAAGAGACGCGAGCGTAGTTCAGTGGGAAAATTGATCCTTTAGTGAAAGTTTATTATTCTCATTAGTTAGTTAGTTAGTTAGACCCGCTACCATTTCTGGTGTAGGGTGAGAATAAAACATCAGGAAAAAATAACACAAAAAGAAAAGAGTGTTCAATTTGACGGAAGTAGTGTTCGTTTCTATTGAAAATT